CCTTGGGTCTTACCCTGGTGGCCGAGACAGGCCATCCCAACACTTGATGGCACACCAGTATCAGCCTTGGTAGGATAAATCTCCCCAAACTTATTCAATGGTTGTGAATATTTAAAACTAACACGAGTCTCTACAAGTGTCCAGTTTTAGGGTCTTACACAGAATTATACCAAACAACATGAATCAAACATGCACTTTATTTATTTTCACTAAATAACAAAAGTACATCAAATTAGATTGAAGTTAAAGGCATACAAAACTGTCTAACATGTCCCAACATACCCAGGTTTTGACCCCCTCTAGGGATCTCACTGATTGGTATATTAAAGGCAGCCCAATCCGGCACCTAGTGCAGTATCATAATCGAGTTTAGGGGTCAGGTGTAACATTTCAGTTTTGTCCATCTATCTCTAAGATCCAGGGCAATACTGGAATTTTGGTCCGATTCAAATTTCAAGAAAACTCACACTGCATGTACCTTAGGTCTCATCTTGACAGCTGAGACAAACCACCCCAACCAATTTGGTGGTACATCAGTGTTAGTTTTGGCAGGATAAATCCTCATAGATCTATCCAACGACTGTAAATATTCTAAACTAAAATGAGTCTCATATGTATCTAGTTTAAAGATATTACACAGAAATACACCATAATAACATAAATCAAATATCCATAATAACATAAATCAAATACGTACTTTATTTATTTACAATAAATATCATAAAGACATATACTATGGTGGACCCTCCGACTACATATTTCGGCAACTGCGTTACTCTTTGTTTGGCAAAAACAAACACGGGTGATTTAATAGGAGAGCATGGCTTCCCCGTTGAGGGGCCGGACTACGAATAGAGTGGGAGTAACTGGAGCATTGGGGTAGGGCACAAGAAAACATAGGAGGAGAGAGGGAGGACTTTGCAAATCTGCACCCTCACCACCACTCATTTGGTTCTAATCATTCACATGCAACGAACGGAAAACAAAGGAAATCGAGTAGAAGAAATGGGAGGAGAGAAAGGGGAAGGGGACGAAGAGAGATTGGGGGAGAGAGAGGGAAGACTTCGGAAGGCCGCCACCACTATAACAGCTACCGTCGCTGCTGTTCGTGTATCGTGAGGTCTTGCATGATATCTAATACGTGTTTTGCATGACGGGCACTTTTCATTCTCCATGCTTCTTTGTCTGGCTCTTACCATCTCGGCTTCAGTTTTGTTCTTTATTGGTCTCGTCTTGTTCCTGTTTTATCTCTGGTACTCCCTCGTTGACCGCTCCCGCACCAGCCCATTCGTTTCCAGCGCTCCGCTGGAGTTGCAGAGGTTCTCTTGTAAGGAGCTGAAGTCGGTCACGAAAGATTTCGGTGAGGCTAATTTGATTGGGCAAAGTGGGTCCGGGTCGGTGTTTCGGGGTATTCTCCGTGATGGGAAGTCCGTCGCTGTTAAGAAGCTCGATGTGTCTTCATTGCAGGCGGAGAGGGAGTTTCAGAATGAGTTGTAGATTCTCGGCAGGCTGCGGTCGCCGTTTGTTGTTTCTCTTTTGGGGTATTGTGTTGAGAAGAAGAGGAGGTTTCTTGTGTATGAGTATATGCCCAACAGGAGCTTGAAGGAATCCCTGTTTGGCGAAGGCTCTGCTCGCCCAACTTGAATTGGGATCGAGCGCTTRCCTTTTTGCATCTGGAGTGTGATCCTCCGGTCATTCATGGTGATATAAAGCCGAGMAATGTTCTGCTGGGTTCAGATTACCAGGCGAAGATTTCAGATTTCGGGCTTTCGAGGATTAAGACGGAAGGTGAATTTGGGGTCGAATTGTTCAGTCGGGAATTGGGTCGGAGTCAGGAGCTCTAGAAAAGCCAAGAACTCTGGAAAAGCCAAGAGCTTTCTGGGAATCCAACTTCCGTTCCTGCACAGACTC